GGTTACTGGGAAAAAAAAAAAAAAAAAAAAAAAAAAAAAAAAAAAAAAAAAAGCATCACACACATACAAAAAAGCTGAGAGGTTAAAAATCTGTTCAAATGCAACAGGATAGAAAAGATCAGGAACTCCAAATATCCATGATCCCTACATAATTTTACAATAATTATTTCCTGTATATCAACTGTGGGTTAAAAAGAAAAAGAAAAAAATAAAAGGAAGACAAAATAAAAGAAACACAGCTGCCGAGATCTATTTTGTCCCTTCAGTGAGAACAGTTTTTTTCATTAGACGGGAAAAGGTCTGCTTGCATGAGAAAATGGTACTGCCTGATGGGAGCTAGTTTTAGTGGAAAAGTGAGATAACAAGAAAAAAATGCCTGTAGAGGCCTCTGTGCATCTGAGGCATCCGGAACTACAAATGCTTTCAGACCCTGATCTTTTATCATTGAAACCTTGTGTGATCATTCAGTCTCCAAGCAGTCTGTTCTTGCTAGTTTGAGTTTGAAAAATGAAACAAGTGGTTACACGGTTGTATTTGACAAAACTTGTACAGAAGCTTGTCAGGTTTGCACAGGTTTCAGCAATTCCTAATTAGAAAAATGGAAGAAACTTATTTCCAATGACACAGCAAGCCACAGCCGTTGAAGTCCGTACAATTTAATTTCCCTGAGTCGGCAAGATCCCCCGGACTTTCAAAGAGAATCACCCTTATCACTGCTGCCTCTTTTTTTCTCTTGGGCCTGTGTTTGGGATCAGCTTCTCTAAGCTGCACCCAACAAAAATAATTAAAAGAGTAATATATTGTAATTACTACAAAGAGAAAGTATACTTACTGATGTGTACTACTACTAGTAGTAATACAATACACACAGAGCTATCTTCATTTTGAGCACTGCTGTCCTCCTGCTGCTTCTTAATGCAAAGCAGGTCATATTCATTTCTGGCAGCTCTTACAAAGCTTTCTGCTGCCACGGTCTGTCATCAGAAAATGTTATGTGCAGTTAACCCCAGCAAAAATTGTTATCTATCTATGATATTAAGCACAGGCACAAAACCATAAGAGCTCACATTTATTACAAACTAAAGTGAAGTAAAATTACAGGCTTAATTTGAAGGTGTCAGATTCTAATCTCTGAGACCTCCAAACTCCAACCTTTGCCTAATCCAGCAGTATTCCTGACCACTACAAATAGCAGCACATCTTAAGAATGTCAGCAAAGATGTCCTAATAATATTTTCCATTGCTTTTTCCTCCTTGAAGAATAGCAAGAGTGTTTTAATAGATAAATTTTCATTAGCAGGCTTTACAAATACCGGCAGGATTTTCAAAACCAGCACAGTGATCATCAATAAAGCTCATACAGATGTATTTCTGTGTTCATGAAGGAAACAACTGTTTGCTGAATTTAGGAGAATGAAATCTTCCTTGACATACAGACTGTGAACAACAACATATCGGCATGCCTGATGTGTATCAACAGTTCTTGTTAGATTTCATAGCTTCAAGGCTTATCAGACCATTTCTCTGCATTTCCCTGAACAGCGTTTGAGCCACAGATGTTGGAAAGAAAACAGACAGCAAATACACTGGAGAGTACAACAAATCCCCAGCTTCCAGTATAGACTTTGTCTATGTCCACTAAGACTGTATTCAAACAGTGAACAAAGTAAATAGCAAGCGGAGTTTGTCCAAAAATAGCTCTAAATGTTTTCAGTATAAAACATGTTAATGATAGATACATCATCCCTTTCTTGGTTTACACAGTTTTCTGCTAGGAGATTCAAGTCCTTAACAGTTTTCTCATTAAGAAATAAAACTTTTTCATAACCTGAGTGACTTTCACTACTAAGCAATAGGAACTGCTCTGCTAATATGGTTACGTATAAGGGGAACATGATTTGAAGGTTATATACAAGTTCAAAGCCCGTAACAATTCAGACCTGAGATGTAACCATGCAGCAGCTGACTTTGTAGTGAATAGGATCCTCTGTATTTATTCTTATCCCACATATTTTGGTGATAGGAATTTACAGGGTCTAACTTACATGTTGGCTTGTCAAAAATCTGATTTCATTATCATTCATATTCCAACCAAGTTTGACCTGAGCCGTAAATGATGTCTAATCTTACCAGAACCAGTTTTCCTGTCTGCTTATTCTTTTGCTTTCTGACGTTGACCTTGTTTATTAACCGATTCAATACATAATAGCTACACTCCTTGAAAGCCTTCTCAAACACATTATTCAAAGTTCTTTAAAATGTGAAGTTGGGGCTTTCAGTAGGATTTATTTTTACTATTATAAAGAATTAAGGAATATAATATTTCTGTGACAGGTATCAAGTCTATTTTATGAGCAGAGCATTTTACTGATTACTCAGAGATAGAAATAGAATATAGATTTGATAAAGATCTGTAATTTTTACTGATAAGCACTAAAACACTATTCCTGAACAAAACAAGTTTATTTAGTCCTAATCACAGCATACAACTTAACTGACAAAAGGTGATTTGAGGGCAGGGGAAATTTTCTAAATATAAAAAATTATTTCAGAAAATCATCTGGGGCTAAATTCAGGGGTGGAAAAATCTGGTGTTTGTGAAGTTTTATTTACAGATGTGATTATAAATATTTTAATGTGTGATTATATTTCCTGTACAATTTGGAAATTTACTTGTGCCTTCAAGCTGTAAAGTTTTGAATTACTGCAGCCTTTGTAAGCAAACAATTTCTAGAACAATGATGTTCTAACCACAGAGCCCAGGTTTGATTTTTATGTTTAGCTCCTCCTGATCCCTTTTAACTTCACCTAGCAGATGCAATACTCAGTTCCTGCAAGTGAGTTTATCCCTTTCTTTTTCAAGGAATAAATTTTTCATCCCTTGTCTGCACTTTGTAAAATATTTTTAGTCCATCACGATTCTTCTGAAGGTATTGCAAATTATAAAATAGAGCCAGACAATGAGTCCTATTCATTCATGCTGCGTCTTTGATAAGAGACTAGAGGTTAAGAATTTTCCATGGTAACAAGAATGGCTTAAGGGTCTTCTGACAGTAACATGATGGGTTCCAGTTTTAGTCATTCAGGAATAAATCTATTACTTTAAGAAAAGTTACTCTAAAGATACACATTCTTCAACTTCTCACACCAGGTGAGAAGGCCAATGTGCTACTGAGGGGTTATAACAGCCTGGCTCCGGAAAGAAAAATAGTCTTCGGGCTTGCATGTAAGACAAAAATGCCCATTTCCAAGAAACATCTGGCAGACACTTTCCAGTGTCTGCAGCTTTGGTAGGGAGGGGTCCAGAGAAAGGAGAGGTTTGTTGGGGGTGAAGAATTACAGCCACAGGTAAATGTATCTAATTTGGAGAAATTTGCACAGTTCATACAAATGTTCACTGTTGCTGTGATCACCTTAAAATGCCTGAAGTTAGTTACATGACTATGTGAAGCATTATACATTTTCTCATACAGCTTATTCTTATTATTTACTGGATTGGGCTGCTGTGAAAATGTAGGGTAATTATTCATCACAAAAATATTTATGGTCCTTCCTGACATCTGATAGCTTGATGTACTTATGCAGAGTAGTAACTGATTTTTTTAAAATATACAAAATTTCTGCACTTTTTGACAAGAACTGTAACTTAAAGAAAACACGTTCAGCTACACTACAATATCAAGCCTAATCACCGATAAATTAACATGCCAGTCATGACATTACCCAAAACCTCTCTGGATGGAGTTACCTTTTTATGAGTTAGTGCAAAAAGGGAAAATAAGTGGGACTGAAAAAATTACTATTTTTGAAGAGAAGGAAAGGTGGACACAACATATCTGCTACGGAATGACATTCTATTCCTTTAGGTACAGTAAATCCAATTAAATAGTTACATTTTAAAATCTTTATGAGCATCTTATTTATTAATGTCATCAACAGGCTGAAAAAAATGTAGGTTAGGTGTGGGGAGAGATTGGCTCTGCAAAGACATTACTTAAAAGCAATTTTTCTTACATGACTGAGCACATGTGCACACAGACTAGATAGTCACACTTTACAATGAGGTTACATTTATAAATTATTTATAAAGGGTTGGTAAACACTGTAAGCTATTACAGAATCCAAAGTCCATAGTTTTGTTATAACTATGTGTAACACCCTCAAGTAATGTGCAACCAAGTATAATTTATAAAAGTCATATCCATAGTATTGTTTATGATGTATATTAATCATTTATTAATCCTTCATGAACTATTTATAAATGCAATCTTAATGGAAAGCACGGCTGACTAGTTACTTCATTGCACTAGCTGCATGGCAGTTAAAGGTTGCAGGCCTCTGCCCCTCCTTTTTAACAAGCTAAGCAGTCTTTAGACAAGGCAGCACTCACTAGCTGGTTCCTTACAGACTCCTAGGAAGTTAGAAATCTGAGAGAGGCATTACAAAGATATTTTGCTTGTAAGCAAATGTACAGAATCCTTTGTTTACATCTCCAATATTTCAGTAGAGCCACCACAGGTCTGCTTCACGGGGTCCGTGAGACAAAACTCCTTGCAGATGACCCACACATATTAAAATCTATGAAGTCTTGGTTCCTGAGGACTCTTGTATAGTTTGGTACATCACACCACCAAAATATAAGCCATATTTCTAGGAACTGAGCAGAGGAGGGTTGCTGTGTAAATGTGCACGTCCATCAGTCCTTATGGTTTCCTCAGGAAAATGGGCAATATAACAGAAATTACTGCTGTTGTCTAGGATGCCATAAGGTCTAGGAGGAGACCCTGGCTTGCAGGATTATTCTTCTGCTCCAAAGCAATTCTGTCTGCCAAGGTACAGCTACTTGTGCTTGTTGCAGGCAAGCTCCACTAAATTTCATGTGACAGTGCAGTTTTATCTCTGCTCATTGCTTCTTTACGCATCCTGTGAAATCTCTTGCTGAGGCATTTGATACTGGAGCACTGTCCCAGCACATTAATTCTTCATTTGTTCTTTTGCAGGAAACAGATCTCATTCTGACCTTTAATATCTCAATGCATCGTTCTTGGTGGATGGAGAATGGGCCAGGCTGCACCGTGACCTCAGTAACCCCAGCCCCAGACTGGGCACCAGAAGATCACCGTTATATCACGGTCTCGGGGTGTTTGCTTGAATATCAGTACATAGAAGTGGCTCACAGTTCTCTTCAGATCTTCCTCGCAGTAAGTGTTTACAGATAGCTTCACTTCTACCACCTTTATTAGATATCTTCTTGCAGAACATCATTACCAGAATAGCAGAGTATTGTGGCATTCATTCACAAACCCTGGCTCTAAGTGTTAGTTCTGTTATGAAACTGTTTTCTTGAAGATACTTGAAGACACCAGTGCATGAAAAGCCCTAACACATATATTTATTGCTGTGAGAGCTGCTGACATGACACACCGTTTTTCTGACCTCCATTTTGACCACTGACATCACCACAAATCATTTATAGCAGGTTACATTCAAATTACACTATATGTTGTGACATAATAAGAAGTTACAGCTATTACTGTGAAAGATGAATATAAAATAAAAGACAAAATGAAGGAGAAATTTTCAACAGTAAAGCCAGATTCACTGATCAGCTCACAGGACTCAAAACTGACCGATTTGTCTTTAACCATAGTAATCAATACACGCTGGAGGAGAATGGGAAAGGTTCTTCCCAAAAGACTAAAATGTTGTATGAAAATCAAAACCAGAAATCTTAAATCTTTTTAGGAAGATATGAGTCCATTCTTACACTGCAGAAAATTTATAAGGAATAAGAGCATCTTGTTTGGGGGGAAATTGATAGGTTTTTCAATCATATTTACCTGTACTAATCACTTTGTCTTGTGTTGTCTCCGACCTAGGTGAAAAGATGACATAAGCAATGAATTCATTACAGTGAATGATAATCTGCATTTTTATGTTTGCTCTAGTGATACATACATGTTTATGCCCAGGTGGAGATATATAAGACTGCAAATAAAACTGTTACTATACATATAAATTGGGATCAGTGCCTCGGTACATGACTCCCTCTATGTAAATTTTTGTTCAAGAGATTCCAGTGTTTTGTCCAAAGAGGGACAATACTGGCAAAAGAGAGAGGAAATTTGGTTAGCCAGATCCAGAAGTTAATGTAAGGCAGTTGGACGTTCCATAATATATAATGTGGCCCTCACCTACTGAAAAAATGAGCAGGTTTTCCATCTATTCCCCAACCTAGCTGTCAATGCTAAGTACCAGGTGAGTTCAGGAAAATGTATCTGTGTCAATACAACTCTGCAGGGCTCACATGTAAAGGATTGGTGACTGATTCTTCTGAAATCCCAGGTATCTCCCTCTGGTGGAGCCATCCCAGGTCTTTTCCATGCTTCTCAGCTTGCAGCAGAACAAAGGGACCCTGACCAAGTAGGTATCGAGGCAGGCACTAGATAGGTTTGAAAAACAAAAGCGGCCCTTTTTCCAGATAGTTCACACCTGCAATTTTGACAAGCTACAACTGGTACAAAAGAGACAAAGAGAAAAGTGCAACAAAATCAGTGTGAATAAGTAAAAAAGATTAAAAGAGCTTTACAATTCTATTTACAAACAATTGTTATCGCTCAAGCTTAGCTAATAGAACCATGGAATCATTTCAGCTGGAAAAGACCCTTAAGATCATCGAGTCCAACTGTAAATCTAACACTGCCAAGTCCACCACTAAACCATGCCCCTAAGCACCACATCTATATGTCTTTTAAATACCTCCAGGGATTTTGACTCAACCACTTCCCTTGGCAGCCTGTTCCAATGCCTGACAGCCCTTAGAAATTTTTCCTAATACCCAATCTAAATGTCCCCTTGGTGCAATCTGAGGCTGTTTCCTCTTGTCCTATTGTTACCTGGGAGAAGAAACCAACACCCACCTCTGCAATGTAGCTGCAGAGGTAGCTGCAGAGCACAATAAGGTCTCCCCTCAGCCTCCTTTTCTGCATGCTAAACCCCCCCCAGTTCCCTCAGCCGCTCCCCGTACGACCTGTGCTCCAGACCCTGCACCAGCTCCGTTGCCCTTCTCTGGACACGCCCGAGTCATTCAATGTCCTTTTTGGAGTGAGGGGCCCAAAACTGAACACAGGAATCGAGGGGCGGCCTCCCCAGTGACGAGTACAGGGGTCAGATCCCTTCCCTGTCCCTGCTGGCCACGCTATTGCTGACACAAGCCAGGATGCCATTGGCCTTCTTGGCCCCCTGGGCACACTGCTGGCTCCTGTTCAGCCAGCTGTCAATCAACACCCCCAGGTCCCTCTCTGACTGGCAGCTCTCCAGCCACTCCTCCCCAAGCCTGTAGCGCTGTTGGGGGTAGTTGTGGCCCAAGTGCAGGACCTAGCACTTAGCTTTGTTGATACAATTGGCCTTGGCCAATCAATCCAGTATGTCCTGATCCCTCTGTACGAGTCTTTCTACCCTCAAGCCCTCCAAAGGAGATATCCAGACTTATTTTTTCTGCGTTATTTTTTTGTATGTAATGAGTGATGAACAAGGAACTCAATAAATATATATTTCAAGATCAATTTTCCTTCTAATGCAACAAGGTTTTTTGTGTGTCCATGCCTAAATAGAGTTGTGTTTCTAGATAAAGTCATTCTTTGCAAGCCAGGGGAATGGTTCAGAATAACAAACCATTGGTAATCTGCTAGTTGTAGCCAACTAAATCTGCTTTTATATCTCAGTTCATGTTACTGTAAATATTACTATCATAGCTAAAGAACTTCACAGTATAAGTATGGGTCAATTTCCCAAACCTGATGCTTGCAGCTTTACTGTTTACATAATTTTCACATTTCCAATTGCGGACATGGGGTTCTTTTTCTAATATAAATGCTAGCATAAATTCACTATCATGATATATATAGTGAGAAACAGGGGAATTACCTGGTATTGCTCGGTCACATATGACACAAAGTTAGAAAAACAGATAATGTTTGGTTTTCAGCAAATGAGCTCTCAACAAACCCAAGCCTTAGGTCAGATTTATCTCCAGTTAGCAGAAATAAATTAATCTTTCCTTTCCAGTTTCTTTCATGACCACTTCAGTGGATATTGCACTTTAACTGTAAAACTATAATTTGCAGTCTACAAATTGGTTACTTACTTTCTATTTGTACTTCTGTATGTTCATGACAATGATCAAGCAAATGTTGATCTTGGCTTTTTCACAGACTGGTGACACTGCAATATGTTTTTAAGGATGTTTTCTCCTGCCTACAGATAGAAAGTTACAAAGACATTCAACGTCATTGAAGACCACTTATATCGGTCTTTGAAAACATTATATTGAGCATATTTTGTACAGCTTGCCAGTAAGCTCACAAGGAACCCAGCTACAGAGGGTTAGGCTTCACATAGATGTGATATTTGCTATGGATTACTTAGTGGAAAGAGTATGACAGCCAAGATAAAAGCTATAAAACTCCCATGGCTAATACTTTCTATAAAGCAAGTCTGAAGGTGGGCTGTGGAATATTTCAAGGATTGCAGACAGATACTCTGATGAGGAGGTGCAAAATGCTCAGTTTCCAAGAGACTTTCTCTCCCCAGAGGAACGTGTCCTAGAAGCAAATAACACCAGATTTTGAACTACACAAATGCTGCTGCTAATTTTCTGCAAGTCAACAGAGATTGTAGGGTTTTTGAGAGTGAAATTTTGGAGCATTTTCATTTCTCCTACCGCTTAATCAAAGTGGAGCTTCCAGTTGCTTCCCAGAGGTCAGAACACTCCCCAGCGTGTGGTTGTGTTCATTGAGTAATACAGGCCTTAGAGACTAAAGAGAGACAGATGTAATGATGCACAGGTATTTTGCCAACTTCTCCTGAGGAGTGGATTTTGCTGAAGATAAACAACTGGACAAAATTGCTAGTCTAGCTCATACTGAAGAAGTAACAAAAGTTTCAGTCTGGTGGTCTCTATACTCCAACCTGCTGAATGCTCATGGTTTAGAAAATGTTCAAAATTGGGAAAAATTGTCTGAGAATTAATGTGTTTGAGAAAATGCTCTGATAAAACAAGGATTATCCCAATTTGGGTATTTAGCATTTATGTATGCAATGCAAGGCTGGAATAACCCTCAGTGGTAATAGGGGCTGCAAAGAAGCCACAACTGCTCCTTTGTCTCATGACACAGAGCACTTAGCGTATTGAGTGATGCTGGTGGAAGATTACAGCCTCTGTAGAGCCTATCAGTAAATTAATCCTTGTGTTAGGATATAAAAAATGACCATATAAGGCACATTTATATCTGGTTTTGTAGCCATTCCCATGTCAGCGCATTACTTCTTGCTCAGCTGCTGTCTGGGTTTTTTTTTCCTGTTTATGGAAAGCTATTTTGAAAAACTTCCACTGATTTTTCACTCAGTTATTGTGGTAGTTGCCTCTCTGAAGTGGTAGGCCACCAAAATCTCAGTGCCACACACCATGCTTGTCAGTTTTTACTCTGTGCTCCATAACAATACCTCCCTTCTGGTTCTTTTGAGACTGAGTTACATTGGTATCATTTTATCTCTATATCTTACCATCTTCCTCCAACAAGTTAAAAAGAGAGACGTGTTCAGACTGAAGAAGGGAATATGCGAGGGAGGAGAATCTCTTTCATTCTTAAGTGTAGCTTTGCAGCCTGCAGTGCCGCAAAATAAACAAACATTTTTTGGGCACCACCTGCAGCACACAGCTGTATGGAGCTGAACAGAACTGCTAAGGATGTGATTTTTTTTCTGTTTCGTATGAAACCCTGGGGTCTGGGAAAACATGTGGAGAAGGTATTTGTATGGAACAACTCCATCTTCTCTTGTCCTCCCCAATTCTTGGCAAATAACATAGGTGAATCTATAAAGGTGAGATCTTAGCTTCATTGTACTTTGACAACAACAGTAATTTATTTAATGCTATGCTAATATATAGGAAAAAAAAAATGCATCGTTCCAGCCACAGCTAGTTAATTTGTTTTGTTGCACAAAGCTAACCCTCAATGCAGCCTGTGCTCACATACTGGGCCAGATTCTTCACTCGACTCTTCTCTCCCAGAGAAGTCACATTTACAGACCTGTGACATCTTGAGCACCTGGATCATCCAATATGCTCTGCAAGGACCACAACTCTGCCTGTCCTTGGTGCCTACATATTACCAACATGGACTGGTCTGGTGATGGCTTG